GATTGTCTGAAGCTGAACAAAGTCTAGATTTCCTCTTACTCGTCTTTGGAGTGATCTTCTTCCTTGGCTATTTTGGCCCGATTTGAAACAGACGACTATAATGATGTGTTTAGTGTTTGAAATCAGTTTCATTTCATTTATCATTCGTTTTTGGTTTATTTCCAGACAACAATGGATCTGTAATTAAAACACACATGTTCAAAAAGTACATTCCTGCAGATTTATGTAATATCCAATTACAAACCATTCCTTTGTCCACGACAACTTTCAGACTGTAATGTACCTCTTGTCCCATTGTATGGGTTCCCTTACTACCTTATGTAGCCGCGGTATACTCCAGTAGTGCCCTTGGGAGGACCATTTTAAGGCAGGATTGTATCAACTCCCTTGGTCTTCTCCCTTCCTGTTCGCCAATACGATTCACACTGTCGCGCAGGACGTCGCTAAGGACACCCAGCTGCAAGTTTCCGTTGACCTCCTCAAACTCCATATTGAGGATCAGCAGCTCCTTCATTGTCAATCTCAGTACGTCCCAGCCCAGAAGGAAGTGCGTGAGGCCTTCAGCAATTGATGTGGTTCCTTTTGTGGCAAGGGCTTTCGTGGATGTGGCAACCGTGGGACCAGATCCACCTCTTCAAGGACTGTGTCCTTCACTACTGGATTGCCCTCGGGTGAGTCAACCAAGCTGGTTGACTTTTCCTACAATTGACTTGGCTCAGAATTGGCACGACTGGGTCCTTCCGCCCTCAGCCACCCCGCTGTTCCACTCCTGTAGGTGGAAGACTTTTTTTGCAGCCAACTGGACTCTGCTGGATGACCCCTTTGTGACAAAGATTTTTACCGATGGGTACAGACCCCTGTTAATGTCTCCACCTCCGGTCACTCTTTATCCAAGGTCTACGCTGCCTGTCAGATGGTTGTGAAACATACAATAGAATGTCTTGGTCCCGCCCTTTCTGTTCCAAGGACAGTGGCAAGATGTGGTTGATCTTCAACATGAAGGACTTCAACTCTCAATACCTGGAGCCTCCGCCACACTTCCGCATGATTTCCGTCTCCTTACTACACACAATCATTCATCCAGGCAACTTCATGGTCAGCCTCGACCTTCAGGACGCCTATCTCTTTGCCCCCATTCACCGCAATCATTGTCGATACCTTCGCTTGTGCTCTCGTTTGGAATTTCTATGGCCCCATGGTTATTCACACGTCTCATGAAACCAGTCACTCGGTTCCTGCATTGCCGAGGCATTGTTTTCGAGGCTCACATAGACGACTGTATCCAGGCTCATGCCATCTCAGCAATGCTGGTGACACATCTAGAATTTACAAGGAAGCAACTTCATCAACTAGGCTGGTTGATCAATGTGTCCAAGTCGGAGATGACTCAGTGTCTCCAATTTATCGGTGCCCTTTTCAACACTCAGGGGGGAAAGGTGTTTGTTCCCCCAGACAGGTGGGCAAAGATACAGTGATATGTACCATTGGCTCTCAGACAGCTGTTACTTCTCCGGCAGTGGCAAGAACTCCTTGGACTTTTGATGTCAGCACATGCCCTCTCCTTGCAGGGTCAATTACACCTATGACCACTTCATTGCCATCCCGCCCTTCCTCATGAAGGATGACTGTGAGATCCAGATTTGCCTCCTGTTGACCCTCCACCATCACCTTCCGTAGTGGCTTCAACGGAGTCTCCTTGCTGCCCTTTGCACAGGAATACCACCTCCTCGTTGACGCCTCCACAGTCGGTTGGGGCGCTCACCTTTACAATCAACATACTGCGGGACGTTGGTCAAGTGCCGACAGGAGCTTACATATCAACAATCTAGAGTTCAAAGCTGTCATTCTCGCCATCACTCATTGGGCGGATCTTCTTCAATCATCACCAGTCATAATCCAATCAGACAATGCGTCCGTCGTCTGGTACATCAACAAGATGGGGTCAACCAAATCTGCCTCCCCCCTCAGAACGACATTCCAGTTCTTCACCCTCGTTGACTCCCTTCACATCCAGGTTAGGGCCAGACAAATTCCAGGGATCCAGAATGTGAGAGTGGATGCATTATCCTGCCCCAATTAACAATCCCCGACAGAATGGCGACTCCACCCTCAAGTCTTTCGCTGGATCTGCCACCTTTTTTTAACTCCAGGCCTTGGCCTATTTGCAACACGCTTTAAAAACCAGTTGCCGAGATTCATATCTCCCATACCAGTCTCCCGCTGACTCATATCCTCTGACTGGCCTCCTTCCTCGGATCCTGCAGAAGGTGATGACCACCAAATATCCTCAACTTCTTTTGTTAGCGCCATTTTGCCCAGTGAGAAGTTGGTTCACCGAAAAAAAGTTCACATGATATGAACATTTTTGTGTGAAAATGATCGTGTAAACTTTTGCCGGAACTACATTCCGGGGTTTGCCCCAATTCTTGATAGGTGTTTACGATCAACTCGTTTTTCTAGTTTCTTTTTAATCCCTGCATTTATCAGCAATATAATTCATTGAGTATTTTTACCTTGTCTTTCATTTCATCTGACTTATAAATAAATAAATGCTTTGGTTCTGGTGTTTGATGCCTTGTCTTTCATTTCACCTGACTTATAAAAAAGTAAATGCTTTGATTCTGGTGTTTGATGTTGTCTAGCTACTACATGAAACAAAATGGATTGTCTTTACGGTGATTTGGATATGGAATGGCTATCTTTCAATGCTAATAATGCAAGTGAAGAAAGTTAAACCTGTAAAATTACCGAGGTGAACAAAATTGATTTATTGAGCGATATTGACTTTGATGCCTTATTTTCAGAAATGACAGGAATCTAGCAACAATGAGTGAGTGAGTGAGTTGAGTTTAATGCCCCTTTTAACAGTATTCCAGTTATATCACGGCGTGCTAGCAACAATGAAAACAATGTCATACCCTACTCAGATGTGGCCACTGAAACAGAGCAAAAGCGACTGCTCCTGATCAATCCCAAACTAAAACCTGATTCAATATCGTATCAAGAGAAAAAAATAGAAGATTTTGAGAAACCATAAAACATAAAAAGGTAAGGAAAGAAACTTAATAAAACTTGCCTACCTGTTTTACCGTTTGCTCATCGGAGAAGAGGAAATATCCGTAGACGGAATACGAAATCTACTATTCCGGTTTCTGAGTTGGCCGAAATTCTCTGTGCATTCTAGGCCGAGAAGCGGTGGCACATGAGGAGTGATGGGGCACAGTAATGAAGCTGGCATCAGGTCATACAGTAGGTCCATCTCAGGTGACAAGAAACACTAGCTAAGCAAAGTATAACAGCACACGCGACACATCCCAAACTCTAAAAATAACACGCCCTGACGTTAAAAATTAACACAAAACACACAAGTTTCAGAGAACTCGGTTCAGTCCCCACCAGTCCATTCCGCATCATCCGAATTGGTTTGCGATTATCCAAACACAAGGAACACATTCATAAATCGGTGATATTTCCAATTTGCTAGTGCCATGAGAGGGTTCACACGTCAGGGTGTTTTCCATAACTGCTCCATAAACATCATTTTCAACAGCAGTAAGTATAAATTTCATCCTCATGCTCCAGTTCTACTCGAAATATGTAAATATTAATCCGCACTTGAAGGTTGACCTCGCCTCGGTGCATCGAGGTCATGTTTATGTTTTTGTTCACCTTCCTGTAACCTATTTTCAAGATTTGATTCATCCCAAATATTGTTTGTAAATTTGATACAATGTAATTCTTTTCTGTGGAAGACAAACATGTTTTTATTGTAAATGTAGGGATATGCCCTTGTGATGTGCTTCATTCCGATTCACCTTATGGACAGGGGTATATGTGATATTCTTTAAGGATGATTTGTAGCACTTGAACTAGCCCTAGGCTGTTGCTGCCTCCGTCGAATAAATAATGAAGAACGACATTCTGTGTTCCGTCTTGTATTTATTGTCATACAAACATGGGTGGTACATCCGGTAAAACAAGGGGTCCCGACGGCTAGGTCGCCAAGGGAGAGTACTCTAATACGTTATACACCATCACAGCCGCTAATGGCATAATGCAGTATGATAACAGTACAGTATATAAATTAGCATTGATTTTTAAGGCTTGTACAGGGGGGTTGCCTTATAGGCAGGATTGCTTTATAGAAGGCGATATATGGTAAGACAAAAAGTGTACACTTCCTCTTTGAGCTGGCTAGAGATACGAGACTTTCTGTGTTAAAGCTGTGTTGTATTGGCTATGTGTTTTCCCAAAAGGGATGTTGTTGACCAGAAGTATCATAACTTTGTTATTAAGGTAGCTAGAAGCATTATGTTTAGGATGGGGAAAGTTTGAGGCATTTGGGAAATGGCCTTGATTGGACTGTTTCTGCTTTGCATGTAATGCAAACACATTTCTGGTTGCATGTGATATCCTCCATGTTGCCCTGGCCGAGGACTGCATTTGTAGTCTTTGGTGCTCACTTTGTGGGTTCAAATCCGCCTGGCGACACGTTTTCTTTGAGAAAATTGTTTTGTAATCAAGGTGAATGTAAGGTGTAAAATAGTAGTTCCGTCATAGCCAAGTGGTGTTAAACTTACAATTTAGGTAGTTAATGCCTGGTCAAAGATAAAGTAGCCATGGTTTACAAGTTTGTTTTTAAGGTAGCTACAGGCATGGAACTCTCTAGATAACACTTGTACTGCACTCAGCTTAACTTTCTGAAAATGGAAGTGATGTAATGAAATCAGAAGTGTTTATAACTTAGTTATAAGGTAACTTGAGGGTAGCAATTATATTGCAATGGACATGCTGGATCATTGTAAGGCATTAGGCATCAAAGATTAATACAGATCAATATTGGTTTGGTCGACTGTCACCTGATTTGATTTGATTTGATTTGATAAATGAACATTTATAAAAGTAAATATTTATGTCTTGTTTGCTATCAAGAAGGAAGAACTATTGTTCAATCTGATCTGTACGTGTTCTGCAGAAGACATTTATGTTTGTATTTTCAGCAACTTCGCCATGATCATCTAGTGAATCTTATAGAAGTGTTCCGGAGAAAGAAAAGACTCTACCTTGTTTTTGAATTTGTTGATCATACAGTTCTTGATGAACTGGAAAAATGCCCAAATGGACTTGATGAAAATACTGTTCGCAAAATTTTATTCCAAGTTCTGAAAGGAATCGAATTTTGCCACACACATAATGTAAGTATAGAAAGAACATTTTGTAGGTACATTAGAACATATTTTTAGCTCACCAGACTGAAAGTCAAGTGAGCTTATGTTGTGTGAACTGTTCATCATTGTGGTTGTCTGTCCGTTGTAATTCCCTTGGTTTGAAAAACAGATATAGCAATCATATCTGTTCATCCATCTGTCTGTCCGCCGTCTGTTGTCTGTTTCCAGAGCAGAACTCCTGAACTGTCGAATATGTCTTGTTTCAACTTGCTGTACAGATCAGTCTGGTGGTGAACAAGTGCCTTTTTATATATTTCAGATTTTTATTTTTTATAACTTTTTATTATATCCGGCATTACTACCTTAATGCTTCTACTGCTGTTCTTTTGTCTTAGGAGGCGAAGCTGTGAGAGGTCCTGGCTACAGAAATTGATGTACCCACCAGTTGTGTGGCTTCCTTCCTCTTACAGCTACCATGTGACCAGAAGTGGCGAGCTCATGTATAATCACATCACTAGTCATCGGACTGACAAACCAGAATGGATCCTTTGCCTATCACGTTGACAATCCCTAAGTACAGTGCAATCATCACTAATGGAGCAGTGCCTCTCCTCCCCACCATCATCTATTGCTTTCACGCCCACTGTGTCCCCATCTACGATCACCTCTTTGTCCCTGACACGTCCAGTGTTGCTGCCTCACATGCCTCCGGGTTTTGGCCCATTCCCTACACTGTATTTGGATTCGCCTGGGTTCATTGTATGCAATCCATGTACCTGTCATCTGTGGCTTAGGCTTCCAGATCCAGATCCTCTCACTCCAGATGTGGGTTCCATAGTCGTTCCCTGCTTCGTCGACAGTACAACTATCATTCTGACTCTTCGACGAGCTCAGTTGGCTTGTCCTTCGAGGTGACGGTGCTTAGACATGCACCTGGGACTTAACCAAGTGCCAGATTGAGTGGTGGACTGAGTGACGCGGTTGCTCCCTCCCTGGGTCCAAGTGTGGATAATAGGGAAACAAATTGGTTTTCATCTACATCCATCCGGATCCCATGCTCACAGATTTGATATCGGCTTTGGATGATATTTCTCCAAACTGTCCCTCACTCCGGCTTATAAGGTGCGTTCGAAGCCGCAGACAATGCTCATACTCTGGACGATCATTAACATCACATGACAGGTTCTTCTAGGCCGACCCATCTGCGTATGCCCCATACTCGGCTCACATTTGTTGAGGCGGAAATTCAGCGGTCACTCAAGCCCTTATCTGTCTTGGACTCATCTGCCAGAGTCATTGATCAGGATCTTACAGAGGACAATCCTAATAGAGTTGTTCATTTACGGACTATAATGTCATTTAAAAAACGTCAAATCAACCATCTACGTAATCATCTCTGGGTGGCCTTGGGGGAGATTACCACCACCTTGTACCTCGGTTATCTCACCGAGTCATGTGGTTATACGAGACCTCGGCACCTGGAGAGGAAGGAAGCCACACAACTGGTGGGTACAACAATTTCCGTCTCCTGAGTCAAAAGAACAGCAGTTGTTACTAATTTCTCTTGGTTGGACTTACCGTATTCAACATAATAAATGCTCAGGACTCTCTCAAAATTAGAAATAGGGGGCTCTTATTAGAATATAATTTGGTGAGAAAAAAAGAGAGTTGAAAGATTTAAATTTCATGGTTTATGCTGACAGCCTGAAATGATACAAAAGAAAAATCTGTGTGTATTATACACGACAGATATATTTTCAAGAATTTAATTGCCCACAATTAAGGGTGCATATAAAATTGGGATTGTTCACTAGCCAATATATTAGCAAATATCACCGTGGGCGATTATTAGAGCGGGGTGCTTATTATGTCGAATACGGTATACTGAAAATGAGGGTAGTGGTCGTTTCCGGAGCAGAACTTATTCTGGATGAAACTTGATACACAGATCAGACTAGTGGTGAATTTATGCCTTTTGATGATTTGATATATTGATATTTTCTTTACTTGACTGAAGGTAGCCAATAGACTTCTTTTAATATTTATGCATGACCCCAAGGTCAAACTCCAAAATGAGGTTTTACCCGCATGGCGGCAAAGCAAACACTCGGAAGTGATTTATCGCTTGTCTCGCATGTGTCGTTCAGCTTCGTCGAGAATTTTGTTCAAAGCCAATCTAAGAGCGTACTGAGTTCCCAGTTCCCAAGAGATTCCAGTATAACAGCGATGGGCTCATCAACAGTAATAAAAGTAGGTATATTGTGATTTTACACTAAATAACAGGTCACCTTTCATGTCATTTATGCTGTTGTTTTTAACTGATTTCTATGGGCGTAACATGAATTGGCTAAGACAGACATAATGACTGATTTTCAACCCTTTAAATATGTGCAAGCCCTATATTATATTTTCTTTTCATAGTTGAATATGTGTATATGGTAATTATTATATTTCCAGCATTGTGCGATGGATTCCTGTGTCCTGACTCAATCAATGGGGAAGAACGAAACCTCACATAACTTAGTGGTAAGGAATATTTCGTATGCATGTTAAATTAATCAAATTAATGGGTTTGAATTGATGGGTATGAGATTACATTAAACTGCTACAATAATTCTGGGTAACTGACCATGCAGATTATCCTGTAAATGTGAATTATATAAGATATTTTTTGAAAAGTCAAAGTGTCACGGCACAATGTTTTAAGTGTTTAATAGTGGAACACTTATTAAACTGCATTCATACAATTGACATCTGTATGTATTTCTTCACAACTTCAATGTATTTTCAGATTTTTTTTACTAAAGATTCTGGAGTGAGGGTTTCTGCAACAAACTGTTCGTGTGCCATCATACAGAGCCAGTGCTTTGGACATCAGTTTAAATACAATATGTGTACATTGTGTGATAAAATATTTGCGTCTCAAACGATTTGACACTTTTATCTCTCACAGGCACTTTTAGAACAATCGCAAAGGAAACTAGATTCAAGCAACTGTCCACAGCTGATTGATGGTTTTGCAAATTCTGAACTCTCAAAGATGCTATGATTTGTATTTCTCCTATTTATTCAGCTGAAAACTGACCACAGTTAAATAGGAAAGGGGGAATATTGAGACTACTTCTTGTGTGCAAAGTAGTAGCAATAGTAAGGCCTTGGTCTGCCCTCACACTATCACCAGGTTGAACAAGTGCAAGAAAAATACCAAACAGCTTAGTCATCTCAACATCAGACATACCACCTGTAGACAAACTTGATACAAATTCCACAGCATCATGAGGGGCTACACCAATCAGGCTTTAGAGTGCATGGGCAGCTAGTTTTGTAATGAGTATAAAACATTAAGTTGAGGACAAAGGCAGATGGGATTTGAATTTTTATTTCAGTGCAGTCAACAGCATGGTCCTGGGTATCATTATAGTGATTTTTCACTTATCCTGAAATACTCCTTAATGCATATTACTGCTTGTTTCTTGACAGAGAAAAGGGCTGTGTGAGGGTCTTTGCTTGAAGAAGTTGCTCCAACTAGCTGAGAGGCCAGCCCATCACGCAGCTCCCACGTGACCAAGGGAAGTGACGTCATGGATCCTCACATTACTCTTGTCACTTGATGAGAGAAGACCTGTTCTTTTTTGCTGTAACATAAAACTGATTCAAACGCTCACGTGTTTGCTATCTGAGTTGATTTTGTTTTGTCTTTGTGTTCTGCCTACGGTTTGTATTTTGTACATTCTATGTTTGATAAACATGTGCATAACTTTATTAGACACTTACTGGCGTTTTCTCAAAAGAAAACATAAGGCCAGGTGTCTTGTTGCTCCAAGTAGCCATCTTGAATATTTTGCGTGCGTAGCCAGCAGTTTGTGAACTGGTTTGTGTTCTATATTCTTTTGCTTGGTACCCCACGATTAGCATATCCTCGCAAGTATTGTTTGTTTTGTTGTATGTTGTCTTACGTTTGTCGTAATATTTGTTTCATAAACCCACACAGTGGGATAAACAAATTATAGCATACGTTATCGGGCTGGGACGCATTGTGATTTTACACTGCAGATATCATGCCCTCCTGCTCAAAGTGCCGGCGTAATATGTCGGCGTGGGAGCCCCACCCCCTGTGCCTTAATTGTACATCTCAATGCCTCCAGGGTCACCGATGTAAGACTGTTTACTGCTTTCACCCACAGCTTTCAGTACCTCAGTGTGTGTGAAAAACGCAGAACACAGCAGGCCAGGAAACACCGGCGCATGATGTCAGACTACTCCGAGGTTTCGCATTCTAGGTTACACACAACCAAATGTTTTCCCATAGACTTCTATAGTAACGTTATATTTTTTTAGAAAATAACTCAGCATTCAACAGCTATTACCTGTATGTGTGTGCACAGTTTGGCCTTAGAGCAGCAATAAAAACATAAAAAATGACTAGCTCAGCCAGCTCCTTTTCCGAGTACAGGAAGCTAAACACACCACCTCCAGTTTCGCACCAAATGTCACCTCCTTGAAAATAGCTGTGGTCACATTCAGCATAAGTCATCATGTTGAAAAAGACAGTACTAAATATAGAAAAACATGGTCAGTTTTAATAACTGGATGGATGTACATTTGAAAGACATAAAAATCTTACAGAATATCCTCCAATCATTGCCTGCAGATATCTCTCGACCTACGAAAACCGCACTGTCCCAATTGGTTCTGATTTGGTGTAGTAGAACCTCTAGATCGGCTATCTCAGATGACCACCCCCTGACCTCAACTGCTACCTTGATGTCGGACCCAATGGTTGTAGTCTCTACCCAGAGCACTTTGACAACCACGACAGCGTCTATCTTTACGGCGGTGACCACAGTGACGCCCGGCGTGGCGCTCATATACCAGACGGTGCCTATACTATCCCCCGGACAGACACTCGTCTCCCACAGGCGCCCCCGCCTACGGCACAGACGCTCGGTCTCCCACAGGCGCCCCTACCTACGGCACTGACACCCATGATAGACGCCTCCCTCCTCCAATACATTCAGTACTCACAGGCCAGACAGCCGTCGACGCCAGGGCCTTTATTGACGCCTCTACAAGCGCCACCGCAGACGCCTCTACTAGCACCTTTACAGATAGTGCCTATCCTTAAACAGCGCTGATACAGACGCCAGTGCCTCGTCGGACGCCTATACAGATGCCTTTACAAAAGCACTGTCTACATCGTCCATAAAGGCGTCTATCCTGGCGTCTCGGGTTGCGCCTATCCTTGCGCCTCTCCCAAGTGCACCTCTACAGACGCAAACCCAGGACAACTGCCCAGACAGAGGATTAGCTATTCCTTGATGTGCTTGTGGCTACCTGCTCTCATTCTACAGGCCTATGAGATCGTCAGCTCCCCAGGGCCAACTACCTACGGAGACCAGAGCGATCGCTGGACACTTGATTGGCGTCCATACAACGGCACTCCAACATGGACACTTGATTGGCGTCCATACAACGGCGCTCCAACACTTCCCAAGGTCCTGGAAGCGCCTAACCTCGTGGTGACGGTTCTGTGGAAATCTCCCACCAATTCTCCTCGTCTATCAACGTTGGTTGAATGTTTCCTCGGAGAAAGCGAACGGACTCTTCCAAGATGTTCCTACCCACGGCGTCTGGTAGTTATTATCTGCACCACAGTTGACAATCACAACCCCATGACCGATTCCCATCGTTCCCAACACTGGACCAGTCGTCACTCTTATCATGGGCATCAACTTGCCCCAACACCGGCAACGTCACAGTTCCTACTCAGAACTCGGACACACCACTGGTCTGTCAACCACAGGGTTCACAGGGGATTGGCCGGTGTGGAGCTTGAACTAGTCCACTCAGCAAACGGGGTTACAGTTTACTGCGCAGGACGACATACATGTCACGTGTCAAGAACTACGACTGTAAACATCGTTGGCCGTAATCAGCTGCATGTCAACCGACCTTATGGGATTCCTGCAGTGTATTTGTACAGACTGGCTTGCATGATTGCTTATGCGTAACACTGCATCCACTCGACCTGACGCCTGTCGCTGTAGATCAATGACTCAATCCCGTGTCTCAGCCTTCGCCCGAGATGAGACAGCTCTCAAGACCCTGGCAAGGGTGTAACAACCAGCCTTTTGCTGAGGCGTCCCAGTCTGGCTCACACCAGGTGCGACGCAACACCCTCCAGCCCTAGTGGCGCGGCACCACCTCAACCTCTCGGGGTAGAGGAAAAGGCGGGGCATCTGGCGCATAACAGTCCCGTCGTGGCCAATCCAACGGAGGTAACGCCGACCACAGGGACTTCCAGTGAATAGCCAGACAAGCACGACTGGGACTTGCACCCCCAGCTGTCCAAGTTGTCGACACTCCAGTACGTGGGAGATTGGGTCGTTGCTGGCAGAATTGTGAGATCCTGGGGGACCCATATGTCACCAACATCATCCGACATGGGAAGAAGCTGGTGCTTATAGACGACCGGCCGCTACATGGGTACAAGCTGGCGCCGCTCACGTCTTTGCCCATAGTCACCTACCCCCATACTCAACAAACGCTACCTGGCGCGTCCACCTTATTCAGGATGACCACCTCAGGCTGCTGTGCTTCCGGATCCAGGCGCAGGATGTATTCATCAGCCTAACTATCGAGGACGCCTATCGACATGTCTCTATACATCCCGACAACCGGGTCCAT